ATATATATATATATATATATATATATATATATCGCCTTCTTCTTCCACTAATAGTTGTTCGATAAACATGAAGCAACAAGAATAAAGGTCTCAACGAAACTTACAATTGGTTTATGATTGTTCCAGTCAATGACCAATGTCTCAAGATTCGATGAACTCTGCAGAAAGTAGTAAATTCCAGTGAAGTCCAAGTGTTCTAAGGCTGCATTAAGTTTTAAGAATTTCCTGCTTGATGGTGGAGACTACCACCCTTTCAACTCCAGTATAGGCAGGCACTAACGAACCAAATAGATAAACAACAATATTTTAAAACAAGGAAACGCGACATACTTAACAAATGACTTTCAACTTGTTGATTAATTCGTAAAAACAACAAGGACTATACATCAGCGTTTTGCAACATCAAAGTGTTCAGGGTTGGTTTGGGAACCTAAGGATTGATTTTTAAACACTTGGAGAAACCCATTCACATGACTTAAAGAGTATGATCACTGTAAATCAATGCAAATTTTAAATGTTTTCTGTCCATGGCAAAATCTTTATTCTCACAGTTCATGATAAAAAAAAATTGTTCAACAGGCCTTGTCTCAATCACCTGCCTCTATCCAACCAAATTGGCCATGAGAATGTTATTATTAAGAACTTACAAACTTAGTTATCAGATTATTCTGAGTAGTGGCACTATTAATGCTACTAAACCGATGAATTCAATAGCAAATAAAAAGTTGCAAAACTAAAAAAGAAAATAAACCTCGATGCACAAGGGACCCAATTCAAGATTCTCGACATGGGCAACGCTGAGAAGAAGTTCCTTCAAATATCTACACTCCTTCTCCATTATCTCTTCTTCATTTTCATGGTCGAAAAAATCAACATCTAAACAAAGGACAGCATATTATGTTGGAATTTTCCGTGTGCCGGAGTTCCAACGTAATATGCGGGAAGTTTATACGCAGGAGCTCCATAATCCCGCATATTATACTGGAACTTTCCGTGTTTCAGCAAAACAGTGGCTATGTTTCAATGACTTTGCAAACGCTAACTATTTTCCGATTACCAGACCGAAAACTGGCTAGCCCGTGCTATTAAGTCAGTATTTTTGAGTGCATACTACTTATAATGTGCATACTATTGCATATACATGTTTGTGCAGAGTGTCATCTAAATTACTGATCATTCAAAAGAATGACAGAAGTTGATCCGAAAACTTCCAATGCCCTCCAAGAATCTATGACTATCAATATACAATGGAATGGAACAGCTTATAGACTCCAGATAGATAACTTGAAACACCATCACCAAAAAAGACCATGATAGGAAATGGTGAAAAAAACTTATTTGATATGATATCATTTCCTTTTTTTCTCTTCTCTCTACAAGTATCAAGATATGTCTACACTATTTTACTCTTGCCGGATAAATGGGGAAGAGCTAACATCAGTTGTTCTGTAAACTGAATCCTCTGCTTCACCATAGTATGTCCCCTTTTCCTCGTCCCACTTCACAACCTACCTTATATCCTTGAACGCCTCATCAACTATCACCCGGTCTCTTGCTCGAGCTTGCCACACAAATAGCTTTCTACTTGTTACAGAAGCATAGAAAAGTTTTGTTAATATAACTGTCCGAGCACCAAGACTGCGTTGGTGAGTACAAAAACAATATACAACTCAGGCTAGTCCTGAAGGTACAATCGATCACAGCAATAGCCTCCTTAACATCTTTCCATTTACACCAAAAGGCAGTTTTCAGTCATGACTGGCTTCTGCTTTTCCTTCAACACACACCTGCTGTTTTTTCCACCCACAGCACACATGCTGGTACTGTGGTTCCACTGCTTTGCCTCCTTCCTACGGCCTGTCATTGTCCAAGTTCCAAAATATTCTTTCACAGACGCCGGCATAGCCCAGATTGCTACAAAAATATTAAGAGCACCTCATAACTAGCATAATTAAGCACAGAAACCTATAAAAAGAAAGGAGCACCTCATCTTTTGCATCTATTTCCCAGGCCATCTCAACTGACATTTGACTCCCTTATTTCTATTTCCTTGGAGAACATATGCGGATATGCCTGTTAATTGTGTCATTTAGACTAACTACACCAGCGAAACACTGGAATGGTAGAAGTTAACAACTTCACAAGATTTATTTTAATCATCCTGAGGTGGCAATGGCATCCATGAAAAATAATAAATTCACGCTGCCCATCAGAAACATGCGTCAAACTAGAGTACCTCCACAGAATTCTCAACATCTAACACTAAAAAGATATAATATCACTTAAAACCAAGAAATGTAATTGACCTAGTAGGAGGAGAATGGTTACCTAGTGAGAGCCTGAGAGGTGGTGTAGGAGCTTCCAGATTGTATCCATAGGTTTCAGACATTGGGCTACGATCATCCAAGGAGAACTCCATAAAAACCAAACCATTCCCTTGGGTAACTCCTTCAGCAATCAGCATACAGTATATCTCGCTTTGAAGGTTCATACGCATTGCTTGATACCTCATTCCGCAACAGCCTACAAGGCCAAAAAATGATAATGCAGTATCCATTGTCTATCTTCTGCAGTGGTTAGCATTAATCAAATTCAAAATCTGTTCATTAGCAGGAGTACTCGAAAAAAAAAAGTGAAATCGGTCTCACATTCACTCGTAATAACATGTCTCAAGAAAGGATCCGGTATATCACCTGGTAAAAGAAATAACCCTTTGTCAGCAGTTTCCTATGATAGTAACTGGACAAAGTGAAATATGATCTTGACATCTAAGTTGCGCGGACTCTTCGATTTTAGTGCCGCCCCCGTCCCGATACGAGACGGGGACGGGATATGTCCCGGATTCGGTCAACTGACTTCGGACACTTTAACCGGAGTCCATCGACAAATTTAGGAGAAAAATTGAGATTTTGATTTCTCAAAATCAAAAATAAAACAGATTTAGGACAATGAAAGAATAATGTCCATCTTGGATTGAAAGATTGAATTCTACAATATTCATACAAGTTTTTCACAGACTATCTCTCAAAATTTACAATTTTTTTTTTTTTATAAGGTAAATTGTATTAATCAAAAGGGAGAGAACTCCCGTGTACACAAAGTATACCAAAGACGTAGAGAATTTACATCAGAACATGATTCTCTACAAAAGACGCCCAATCTTCTATACAAGTAGGGGCTAAGTGAGTGCACCAAAAAGCCATCAAAGATAAAAGGCTATTCTTAAGATGTGAAAAAGGAGACTCAATCTCCTCAAAAGCTCTCCTATTTCTCTCCCCCCATACTATCCACATGAGAGCTAACGGAGCGAATTTCCACGCCTTTTGCTTTCTTCTTCTACGGAAACCGCCCCAGCTATATAACATTTCCTTTACAGTGCTTGGCATCACCCATTGAACACCAAAGAGATTCAGGATTGCCCTCCACAAAGCTGAGGACACAGGGCAATGTAACATAAGGTGATCAACTTCTTCTCCTGAGCTTTTACACATGTAGCACCAACTAACAAGTGTAATTCTCCTCTTTCGAAGATTTTCAGCAGTCAAAATCACTCCCCTTGCCGCTAGCCATGCAAGAAAGCACACCTTCGTGGGCGCCCTAGGAATCCAGATCGAGGAGTATGGAAAAGTGGTCTTCTCTCTCACCAACATACTCTGGTAAAATGACTTTACGGTGAACAAACCATCGCCACGCAAGCCCCATCTCCAAGAGTC